GGTGCGAGTCTGAAAAAAAATTATTTGAAGTCTATAATGCTTACGAGGCTATAATAAATAGAAAAGGGAAGTATTATTCCAGACTAATAGGGAATGATGCAAGCAGCGAGAGATTAAAAGAGAAAAAATGTGAACGTACTTGTAGAAATAACGTGTAGCTACATAGGCTGTAGCACTGAGCTGGAAGCAACTGCAAGCTATTAAACTAATTAGACATCATTAAAACTTCCCTGCATGCCCGAGGCAGCCCTGCATATCCGCAATGCCCAGAGGGGACTGGGGAAGTGGTTCCATAAAAAACTGAGCTACTGTCACTAGAGTGATGGTTGGACAGTAGGGTTCCAGGTGGGCAAGGTTGATAGTAGAGCCCGGGGGAGGGTGTGGGGTGTGTGTGTACTTGTTTCTGTTTGGTTTTTGCTTTGTTTGTTCATGATCCCTAACCCTCCTTCTTCTCTAGAACAAAATAGTGCCCCTTTAGGAGAGTTAGGTAGAGGTGAATGTTCTTTCTCAATTGGAGAAACATGCCCAAAACAAAACAGTGACAGCCTTCAAAGTATGGTAATGGAGTGGAATGAAGCTGAACATAAGACAGTTATGGAATGAACATGTTTCCATAGTGTCACGTTGGTAAGTACCAGCAAATATTAAAATGGTTAAAATCACGGTAGAAATTAGTGGAATAAGAAAACAGAGGACTGTTATTGCAGTTTGTCAAGTATCTTGCTGGTTTGTTATTTTGCCTGGGACTAGCGACTGGCCCTAATGGGTTTTTCGTTGATGCCACCAGCTTGTCTTCCAGATTTAAGCAACCAAAGTAGAATAACAGAATCCCTTCTCATAATGGGGTGTACACTTACCTGGCAGTGGGTTTCAAAAGTTTAGCACAACTTAAAACCAATGTTCCTAGATTGCAACAGTTCCTCTTTGGTAGTAAAAAATTGTATATTTGTTATATTTGGTATTCATTGGCCAGTAAAATTTCTTGCGATCTCTTTGTTTACATCAAAGTGTTGTTAATATAAAAACTGACAGTAGCTTCTTCCCTTTGTAGTGTCCATGTAGAGCTGGCAGCTCTCATATTTATAATTAGCAGTGTCGTCTGTGAGGCATAAGTAGTTGAATTTGTGTTTGGATGTATTAATCTCTGATCATTCTGTTAACTTTTAATATTACTTATTTTCATTTGTAACTACTGGAGTGTTTTTTGTTGATATCAGAAAAGGTAATATAGTTTAATCAACATACCATTACACTTAAGTTTCAGATTAATATTTAAATCTTATTTCTCAAAGTGATCCAACAACTTTTATGGATTAACAGTTAAGTCTGTTATTGTTTTTGCAGAAAATCTGCAAATAGTAAGGCAACTCCCAATCAAAAATTGAGCTGTTCAGAAGGTAAAGTTATCTATTGGTGCACCAAAGACTATTAACTTATAGTAAAGAGGTAGTGTTCAGATTCCTAAGAAATTATTCATGTATGGATTGAGAGTAAAAAGTATCAAAACAACACAGGTATTTTTTTTCAATAAAGGATGGCTTAGTAGGCTGAAGAGTTTTATTGACCTTTAATAGGTCAAATGATATTTGCATATGTTTTGGAAAGCGTTTATAAGTAATACTAGAATGTGTTCTGTAATTCTGTAGTAAAAATCATACAGAAGAATACTAACATTCCAAATTAACTTTCCAGTGTTTTAATAAAAAATATTTAATAACAATACATCAGAGAAGTTTGATCTCTGTGTATCTTGGTCTCACTACAGCTCCCTTGGAAACTAAGAGCAAGTTTTCCTTTTGCAGTATGAATTGCAAGTGGAATGTAAAATATTCCTAAAATATTCCATTTATGTGTATGCTAGGTAGAGCATTCTGATTTTACAGCATTTCAGACACATTTTTCACAAATGCAGAAAGCAAGACAGGTAAAATAAAAGGCATTAGAGAATCTTTACACACATGAATAAATTGAGTGTTCGGGAGATGCGTAGGTTGAGAAAGAGAAGCAAGAAGTGTTGGCTCTGAAAATCAATTTGCTCTGGAATTTTTCTGTACAACTTTTTTTTTATATATAACTGTATATAGCAGATGGTTTAGCACACCACAAAAAAAAAATTAGATGTCCAAATAGCAAATGATAGTTTCTGCTATCTTTACACAAGGAATCTTGTTTGGTGTTTTACTGAGAATACCAAAATATCCAGGACTACAAAAACTGGCAATCTATGTGCATGCAAATACAAACTGAAAATACTAATTTTTCTCCTTAGGAGGGTAAAATTTGAAATAACTAGTTGAATAATAAGACTTCTACTAAAAATACTTGGCTTTATAGGCCTTGCTTATAAATGTCTGTTTGTATAGAAGTAGCAGACTGATATATTTAGCAAACAGTATGTCAGATGATGTGTCTTTGAACTAAAACCAGCTGTCTCCAATAAAGAAACAGAAAAAACGCACGCAAGTTCCTATGGGGCAGTTCACCAGGAGGTAAAGATGACATCATTTATTTCCTATAGTCAGGAAATAACTCTATCAATAGCTCCTGTTGAGAAATGTTTTTGGTGTCTGACAGTTGGTTTCTAATACCACATCACATGAGCAAGTCAGATGTAATCTCAGACACTGTCAATGAGAAAAAAGAATCAATTATGGGATTGTGGCTGCTTGCTTGAGGAAAAGTGTTCTTGTCATTATTCTTTCTGTAGAAGACTCGATGTGGTAGAAACTATCTACAATTATAGATGGGTTTTCAGATACCAAACCAAAGGAGATAACTATACCTAACTACTGTGAATTTCAGGTTATCATTCCAAGTGAATAAATAGCTCTTATTTTAAGCCAACTAAGTGTAATAAACGAACACATGATAAACTATGATTTTAAGATTTAAAGGCACAAAACAATGCGTCTAGATTTACAGCTGCTGTAAGTGACCACATAATCAAAATAATAGATGTCTAAATTTCTATCACAGTTATACTGATTAATTCATTTCTTGACATCTGTGGCACATATAAGCATCAGAGGTATTTTTTGTGGATCACAATTTTGATTTTCTTGAATTCTGTGCATTGGAAATTCCTAGCCATTAAACTGTACTGGAGGTTTTGGCCATTTGCATAAACAATACCTTCCTGATAGAAACAGTGGCCGTGCGGCAAGGTATAAATTTGACTTCCAAGCTTCATCCATAATGTACCAAATTATGATCTTTTTCATAGTACCTTGTATTTGTCTTCACAGTAGGGTTATCACTGTTTTTTTGTATGATTTGATTTGCAGTGAAGCAGTTAGTGGATTTGTAATGAAGTGTCCAAAGTATAACTAGATTAGCTAGTGCAAGGGTTTATGTCCCATATTACTTTTTCTCCCTATTTTCAAGAAAATATTGCTCCTGAATAGCTTAGGTGAGAGAGCCAGTGTGTTCTAAATGGCCATTGCTGTTTGCTTAGTGAATATGGGTCAAACCTTTATTTCACCATTAGGATCAAACCCATCTTAATAAATATATTGGTATTCTTAATGTAAACTGTTTGAGGGTAAGGGTCATCATAAAAATTTGCAAGGTTAACATTTAAGTTTGGAGCAGTACATGGAATGTTTAGAAGGCATTCCTAACACTAGAGCACTACACTGTGGTACTATTTTAATCTATCTTACAAAATATCTGTAGTTGGTAATTTTCTTTAAGGTGCATTTTGATTTCACAAGTTGAAAGAAAAGGGTCTTTAATAAAGATGCAGATTTCTTTACTGTAGTGATTGGTAAGTGCCAGTCAGACAACTATTGCTTCATGATTTGAAGTCAGAAATAGGCAGTAACGGTTGAAAACACTACTCAGATGGAAAAAAAAAAGGAACAAACCTCATTATATGGTGCCGATCTGAATTTGCACAGAACAAAAAAATCATCTGGTTAAGTCAGAGATTTTCTCCGGATACATACTGTCAAATTCATCCATTTTTTTAGTCTATTTTTTATTCATATTTTGCATCTTTTATCTCAATTAAGTAAACCAGTATATTCATACAGTAACAGCCTGGCTAATCTAAACATTTTTTTTCAGCATTAAACCTCATTATTATAAATTGGCAGTTATTTAGCAGTATTTACTATTGCAATTAAATCTTATTATTTGGTAGAAATTAAGAACACACTGTAAAGTGTGATCCCTATAAACTGTAACTTGAGAAAGAACGTTGTGTTACTTTCTCCGTGTTTTACTCACTCAATTTATAAATTCAGTTACTTATAAATTTTCAAGTCATTTTAAGTAAGTGTAAACTATTCAAAAAAATTTAATCATTATTTTAAAAATACTATTCTGTTTACACAAGTAGTGTTATACCTACTTTGCTGTTGTTTATAAAATTGTGTTGCTTGTGCATTCATTTATAAAGCCTTATCCTGTAACTGAAACTTTATTGCATGGGATCTCTGATCCCTGTTTTAAATATCAGCTTAATAAGGGGATCAAACGCAGTTGTGTTGTAAAGTCACTGTCTGACAAACAGCCCCAGAAAACCAAGTGCTCAGTATTCACAGCAATTCAGCCTTCCCCATACTGTCTCTACCAAATACCTCGGCCACATGCTGGGGGAATTACCTCGAGGGTTCAGTGAGTCCATTCAGCATGAACCTTAGCAGATACACCCGCTGGCACAACAGAAAGCTGGTGGTTGTGGTCCCCAGTGGATGACACAGGATGGGTGACAGACCCTTGCGAGGACAGAGAAGATCCTCTGCCTCCTGCTGAGGAGCTGCTGGTGTTCCTGCATCCTTGATCTGTGCATAATTACATACAGTATTGTTGGCATAAGTGAACCTAAGATGACTTCAACCTGAAATGCTATGAAAAAATCTTATTCATTATTAAAATTTGAAAGTTAAATTAAAAAAAATATATAGAGTAAATATAGAACTATAAACTTGATCTGTAACTGAAATGAATGAAAAATGCCTTCTAAATATATTTACATTATTTTTTTTTTCTTGCAGATGACAGTCATGTCCCATTCAAAGGATCTCAAGGACGACTTCCACAGTGACACTGTACTTTCCATTTTAAATGAACAGCGCATTCGGGGTATTTTATGTGATGTCACCATAATTGTGGAAGACACCAAATTTAAAGCCCATAGTAATGTGCTGGCAGCTTCAAGCCTCTACTTCAAAAACATTTTTTGGAGTCGTACTATCTGTATTTCAGGTCATGTACTGGAGTTGGATGATCTCAAAGCTGAAGTGTTTACAGAAATACTGAATTACATCTACAGTTCCACAGTAGTTGTTAAGAGGCAGGAGACTGTAACGGACCTTGCAGCTGCAGGGAAAAAACTGGGAATATCATTTCTAGAAGATCTTACAGATGTTAATTTTTCAAATTCCCCCTGCCCCTATGCATACTGTGTTAATGAAAAAGGGACCGTCAAAGAGGAAAAACATGAAAAGAGACATGAAGACTCTGCTGTGACAAATGGACCACGAATTACAAATGCATTCTCAATTTTTGAAACAGAAAACAGTTTGTTTTCTCCACTAGATTTGAGGGCAAGCTTTAAAAAGGTGTCTGAGACAGTACAAGCACCCATCAGCCTCGACAGAAGCGACGTTTGCAAAGATGCTGAGCCAGCCAGTACGCTGGCTGAACACTCCTATGCAGTTTCTTCTGGGGGAGATACTTTTCAAGGAACACCTTGCCTTGAACAGGACAGCAGCCCTTCGTACAAGATGGGTGAGGACCACTATGAAAATCTCCAAGCCACACCACTCATTCAGCCGGGAAAACAAGCGTGTAGTACTCCTAAGACAGCCTGTAAGCCCCAGGGTACTGGTTTGGCTGTAGCAAAAGTACCGGCCTCTACAGTGACCACTACAGAAGCCCAACATGGAGCAGTTACTGATCAGACAATTACTTCCTTTCCAAAACCTCAAAATAAAGCAGGAGATAGCCATTTATCCAGAGAAGAGGAAAACAATTCTGCTAATGTCTCTGGATCCGTGGCAACTGTCGTTCCACCTGTTTATAATTGTAACTGTTGTACAAAATCATTCAGTGACAGGGCGTTACTCAGTACTCATCTTCAGCTCCATTCAGAGCATCAGGAAACTTTCACGTGCAAATACTGCAGCAAACAATTTGCAAATCTAAATATACTGGAAAGTCATGAACAAGTCTGCATGAGATCGAGTAGCTTAGCGGTTCACAATGGAAATGAACAAAATTTTGCAGATAACTATACTGCTACGGATGGAAGGAATGGAAGTTCATATGCAAATGCAGAGCCTCTGTTGTCTGAAAACAGTATCACTGATTATTCTAACGCAAACTGCACTTTACCAGAAACAGATCATTTGGTTAAAGTCGTTGATGGGCAGATATTATATACCTGCGTCGTTTGCAAGCGTAGTTATGTAACGTTGTCTAGCCTTCGAAGACATGCAAATGTGCATTCGTGGAGAAGAACATATCCATGTCACTACTGCAATAAAGTATTCGCATTAGCGGAGTATCGTACCAGACATGAGATCTGGCACACTGGAGAAAGACGATATCAGTGCATTTTCTGTCTGGAGACTTTTATGACTTACTATATACTAAAAAATCATCAGAAGTCTTTCCATGCAATTGACCATCGTCTCTCAGTAAATAAAAAGACAGCCAACGGAGGCTTAAAACCAAGTATGTACCCATACAAACTTTATCGACTTTTACCTATGAAATGTAGGCGACTACCTTATAAGTCCTACCGAAATTCTTCATATGAAAATGTTCAAACAAGTAGCCAGGTTAATGAAACTGCTTCTACTAACTGTTTCATTCCGAGTTCTCTTAGCTCTGAGCTACCACCACTGAATTTTCAAAGTAGTGTAATAGCAAACAACAGAACTCTTGCCTTGGACACAGCTTCATGTAATGATACAGCATCTTCCATGAATACTCAGAATTCTTCCTCTTGGGGAGTAGGTATCTTGAATTCGGACCTGCAAAGGGACTTTTTCACAGCTGAAAAAGGAGTTACTACTGCTGCAAAGGACTCTGGTTCTCAGGAGTGTGATTCCTCAGTTGTGTCTTTAACAAAGGTGAATGAAAATTCAACCTCTGTCATCAGTTACAGCAGTTCTGCACCCTCTGTGATAATGCACAGTAGCAGAGTTTCCTCAGTAATAATGCACAGTAAAACAGTCACTTCTGTAGAAAACAATAAGACAGAATCTTCAAGTAATCCACCTAGTCAGTCTGTAAGTGATGACTGTAAATATGGGTCAGATAATTATGGGAAGTGCATTACAAAATCAAAAACTATTAAGGAGAAAAAGAAGACACTGTTGTACAACAGAGCAGAAGCAACTGAGGATATGCAGCATGTCACAGGATCTGGAGGTTCATCTAGCAAAACAACAAATACTGTCCAAGAATCGAGTAAAACGGAAACGTACATTGCAAAGCCTGCTTTACCTGGAACATCTACTGACAGCAACGTTGCGCCTCTTTGCCAAATAACAGTAAAAATTGGTAATGAGGCTATTGTAAAAAGACATATATTAGGATCTAAGCTGTTTTGTAAAAGGGGCCGAAAATCTAGACATGAGTCCAAACAGGACAATCAAACTGAGGAATCAGAAATGGAGGTAAAAGAGAGAAGCCCCTCCAGGCTGTATAGCTCAGAATGCCTGGAGCTGACAGAAATGTGTGATGACGTAAGCGACCAGGACTCCAGCGATAAACCCTGGAGACCCTATTATAATTACAAACCAAAAAAGAAATCCAAACAGCTAAGAAAAATGAAAAAGACCAAATGGAGGAAAAAGCACGGAAGCAAGAACACCATTATGGAGGACCACAATGCAAGCAGCCGAGAGTATGCGCTCAGGAATGCTCCCGAGGAAAAGGCCATCAGTCAAGAAGAGAACAGAGAAATGCCTAATCTTCCTTGTGAGCTCTGTGAAGGAGATCAGTCTTCCACTGCAGAAATTCAAGAACACGTACACTGGCATGTAGCTACTTCAAAGCCTTACATTTGTGAATTATGCCAAAAACAATTTCAAAGTCCATCCACTTTAAAAATGCATATGAGGTGTCACACTGGGGAAAAGCCCTACACTTGCAAAACCTGTGGTAAATGTTTCTCGGTTCCTGGAAATCTACAGAAACATGAACGTATCCACCTGGGTGTCAAAGACTTTGTCTGCCAATACTGTAATAAGGCATTCACTTTAAATGAAACACTCAAAATACATGAAAGAATTCATACTGGAGAAAAACGCTACCACTGTCAGTTCTGCTTTCAGAGTTTCTTGTATCTTTCTACCAAAAGGAACCATGAACAAAGACATGTACGTGAGCATAATGGAAAAGGATACGCTTGCTTTCAATGCCCCAAAATTTGCAAGACAGCAGCTGCTCTGGGAATGCACCAGAAGAAACATGTATTTAGAAGTTCAGGTTCACGAGATAGAAAAGAACAGTTTTGCAATGAAAGCACTAAACTTTTGGAAAATGCACATTTCCTTGGCTCAGAGGGAAGTGAAGTAAAAAAAATACAGAATGTAACTCCAGAAGTAATACTCTGACTGACAGTTGTGCAAAAGAGAAGAAAAATCCAAAATTACATATTGGAGAAAATATAAATGCATTGAATGGGGAAACATCTCCACTGAAATTATTATCATTTGCTAAGATCCAATTTCTTCATCTAAACGTCAATATATGCAAAAGAAGGAAAAATAACATAGAAAAGTAAAACTAGTATTTGCAATAATACAAACTTAATGTGAAAGACACAAAATACTTTTGCCACAATAGACTTCTAATGTGTATAGAGAGAGAAAGAAAAAGAAAAAAAATATGACCAACCAAAACCCTTCTACTTACCATTACAGGAATCTAGTCACTGAACTATTTTACAGTGCTGTTTTTGAGTCAGAATCATTCTAGGCAAACTATGTATGTAGGTTCACAGTGTACTCTGTAGAAGGAGTTTTTGCTGCAGAAACCATATATTGCATTTTTAACAAAAAGTAATGTGCTTATAAACAAAATAACTGTAATTTAGTGTATTCTAAAGTGAAGGTGGTAAATGTTTCATGAACTTGGGTATGCTGAAGTACCGTTGAGTTCTGGCGTGCTTTTCTGTAACTCAACATTTACAAAACATATTCAGGAATGAGTTTAAATCCCTTTTCGTTTCCATATTCAGTTTTGTAGTTACCATAATAACCATTAAGTCTGAGTGCTTGTGTGGAAAGTATTCCAGATTTATGGTATCTCTGAGACGTGTAATAAAGATTCAGTGGAACTCAAAATAGCCAGTCTTCCAAACTGCATAAATCCCAATGTCAGTGGCCTGGTAGAGCTATTCAGATGCATTTGTCTAAAGAAAATTGTTCTCATGAAACAGCCTAGATCTAAGAAATACTGCATATAAGTGTCCACCTCCTGGTGGGTCTGCAACTCCTGTCTTTTAGAAATAGCATTGCTTTCAGCAGCAGAAGAGGAGATTCAGACAGAGTCTTCTTCCTCGTCCTGGAATAATGCCTGGACAACAAACAACAGAGCAACTCCCCATAAATTGATTTTGGGAGGAGTAGGTAAATACTCAGATTCTTGCTTCCATATATATCCCGGTTGCAGTCCCTATGTATAAACAGGGACAGGGACAGTTTGTGGGTTTCCCTGTCATCCCCATGCCTTGAATACAACCTCTAACCTTCCTATGTCCCTTCTCAGTGATCTCCGTAACCGTGCCAGCATCTGGCCCCAGGTGAGCTTAGTTGCAGCGTCCCTTGGCCCTGCACAGTGGGCCCACAGCAGAGGGGTGCCTGGAAGGGGTTGCTGGAGGAAGCTGCGTTGGCCCCTCTGCCTCCCTCATGCTGCCATGCCGAAGGGTTATGGCGAGCCTTACGGCTTCACAGTTTGCTCAGAATCAGGAGAACAGGCTTCTGAAAGACATCACCAAAATACTAAAGTTAGTATTATTTTGTGAAAATGTGATTAACTGAGATTGAGAGATTTTTAAAACGTCAAAGGGTGTATGTGTACAAGTTGCAGTTTATATGATAGGGCTCTGTTGTACTGTATCTGCGCTGCCGATTAGTCATGTATGTTCATCTCAATGAAGTGTTAAAAAATAATGTCAGGACAAAGGTTAGTGAACCTCAACTTCATTCTATGTGCAAATATGGTACACAGTTTGTTTACTTTGTCTTCTTGAATATTTTAAAAGAAACTATAGCTTGGGTACAATAAAACAACAATTGAAATTATAACACAGTATTGATTGAAGTAATATAGTCCACTTAATTATGCTGTCATTGGTGAATGCTATGAACCTCTTCAGAAATTTCGGTTTCATGGCAGCTTTGGTTCCAGTTAAATAAGGATAATAGAAGAATAAACACAGGAAAGTACGATGATGTTTCAAAGTACACAAAGGTAATTTCTAAGTGGACTTGTATGATGATAATTATAGACCAAAGCAAATAAGGTAGAATATTTATAAATATAAAGATAATTTTACAAATATTTTATATAACTGTATAGTTCATAAGAAAAATATTGATAGCTTGTGTTAGGTTTGGGGGGGAGGGTTTGTATATTTTGATAAAAATACAATGACTTTGTAACTCTGTATATTCTCTACAGTTTATAGCAAAGCAGTTTTAAGATGGCAATGTCATGTTTATAGTTCAATTGTGGCACTTTTACTACAAGTAACACGTTGCAGTAATGAGTCAAGTATTAATGACCAAATTAGAATTAAAGTAAGTATAAGAGAAGGTAAATACTATACGTTGTCAAAGACTGTAATTTACTACAGAATTGCATCTGTATTTTTGTTTAGAAGAAAATATTAAATGCAGATGTTAAGGATTGATAAAGAGTCTAATTTTATTTTTAGAAAGAGTGATTATAACTCTGTTTTTGCTTAATTAAAATAACATCTTCCTATTTTTCTGCAAGTCTCTCAATTTTTTAAGTTACGTTAATACTTACATAATCCAGAGATATGTATCTTCTAATAGTTATTTTGTTAGAAGATTAAGCAATACAGTTACCAAACGTTCCCTTCATTAAGGTCAGAACAGTGAATCGAGAACACACCAGAACTCAAGGGAAGAGATGGTATCTCCTGGCATCGTACCATTAAGGGTGAACGCAATGCTGAGGTGATCAGAATCTACCTGCTCAGTATCTTAAGGAACTTGGAAGACAGGTGAACTGTGTTTAATACTTTGCAACATCTTAAACATGTTTTCATGAGGTCCTGACACTTTAAAAATTATTTTCTTTTCAATTCTGATAATAACCTTGCAGTATAGATTGTGTATTTTACACACTGTACTTCAAATCTTTTGGGACTCTTGTCAAGAAACAGAGTTCAGAATGCAGATATCTAATAGCATAGGGAAATGTGAAGATACATACAAACTAGATGATTACACATATTCAGAGTACTTCCCCTTTCAGCTAGGTGCCGCTAGTCTGTAACTTGCATTAAAAATTAAATTTGAGCTAAATAATGGAGGTCATTTTGGGATGGTCCTCAGGAGGGATGTATAAATAAAAAAATGTGGAAGTTTGCTGTATATAACGCATATAGTTTTCTCTATTTCAAATGCTAATTAAAAAGACAAGTGGATCATCCCAAAGCTTGTGCATCTAAACAAAATGTTAGTCAATTTTCATTTATGATATTCCCAAAATGAGAACAAATTTAATGAATGATATTGCTGTCTTCTGTGAAATGGGATAATATGACACAGCTAAACTACAGGCAGAAGCATATGAGTTAAGCCAGTAAGTATCATCACTTCTATTTGTTCTAAACTTCCTTAGTATAGCAGTTATCACTCACAGTTTAACACCTTGGCTGATGTAAAAGGTTGTTACCACAAGAGCAAAGATACCCCTACTTAACATCCTCATTTGCGGATTAAGAAATCTTTCCCTTAAGTTTGCAACTTAGCATGCTAGTGTTTGTCTTGACTATGTCCTTAGTTGAACAGACCTATCTGTCATAGAGATGCTCCTAAAATGTAACTTGGGCCAAAAATGAATATTGTACTATTGAAACAATATTCTGAATAAAGTATGTTAGATTAAAGCAAGGCACTTTTAAAATAAAACAGTGTCAGGAATTTGACAATGGCAAAACTAAAAGGTGCATTGATAATGATATGAGGAGGTGTGTGCTTTGTAAGAAGCTGAGGCTAAGTTAAACAGTAAACCCCAACTGTAGCCATAACTTTTGAGAGAGCATGGAAGAACTAGAGTCACATAATCTAACTTTTAAAACGTTGCAACCCACAGTTTAAGCATACATCTTCATTCTCAGAGTGCTGCCCTGCGACATTTCTCAGCTCAAAGCTCAGACTCAGCTCACCAGCCACCGTTCAGGTGGCAGCCAGCCTAGAGAGCCAGCTGTAGGTAATCAAATCCCCAACCTGTGCTGTAGAGGAACCAGGTTAAAATTCAGTTTAAGCAACCTCGTGTCTTTATGCAGATTTGGAGTTTGCATGCACACAAGTACAGCTGTTACGGGTGTGACGAAGCAGTGTGTTCCCCACCGACCTCACGCTCACCACCTTTAAGCACAACCCTGCCGGGCCGAGGCGTGCTGTGGGGCGCGGGGATGAGGAAGGAACCTCGTGGCTTGCGAAGGAGCAGCATGGGAGGAGCTGGATGCAGGACAAGCCACCAAGGCACGGGGCACAGCAGTGCCTGGCTGTCAGGTTACACGGATCGAGGCCGTGCCGTAATAATAATGGCAAGATTTGTATGGGCGAAATAAAAAATGGTCAGAGCGCCACGGCAGAGGACTTCAGTTAGAGACAAACGGCAGATGCAGGCCTTGAACTTTCCAAACGTCCCTTGGCTTTAACAAAGGGAGAATCCTAGCCCTCTAGGGCTTTCTGAAACAGCTGTAGCCCCTTGGACTGCCTCTGTTC